GAGAGAGAGAGAGAATGAGAGACAGAGAGCACGAGAGGGAAGAGGGCAGAGGGGGAAGCAGACCCCCCGCTGAGCAGGGAGCCCGACGCGGGACTCGATCCCGGGACTCCAGGATCATGACCTGAGCCGAAGGCAGTTGCTTAACCAACTGAGCCACCCAGGCGCCCCTATTATGGGGTTTTTAAAGATCCTATACCTCTACACCTATGACCGGGACTAATACCATTGTATAATTATTCATGGTTTACAAATGAGGAAATTGAGACTTAGCAAAGTGAAGTGCCACAGATCAAAGAAGCCAGTAGGCCAGGTCTCTGTGACTTCAAAGCCTGTGCTGTTCCCATTATGCTGCTGAAAGAGGACAGAAGAAAGAAAGGAGGAGGAGAAAGGGGGACGGAGGGCAAAAGGGAAGGAGAGCAGATTGATTCTGAATGATTTTAAATAATTACAATAGTTTTTTTATTAAACAAAATGTTTAGTCTTCACAATCTTGAAAACAGGGTCAGGTGTGTAACACAAATGTGTGAAGCAGGCCAAGCAGGGAGGGGAGCCAACTGCAGAGCACATGCTCTGCCTGCAGGGGGCAGTAGATCACACACAGTGAATTGTGGTTCCCTGAAATATCTCTGGGTCCCAAGCCCTGCCTGGTAGTAATATTTATTGAACGGATAAGTTCAGGAATATGCTGAAAGATTTGTGTGAGCTAGGCAATTTTAATTTTATTTATTAGAGCGAGGAAGGGCAAAGGGAGAGACAGAATCCCAAGCAGGCACCACACCCAGGGTGGAGCCCAACGTGGGGTTTGATCTCATGATCCTGGGATAGAAACCTGAAGTGAAATCAAGAGTCCCAGTGTTCAACTGACTGAGCCCCGAGGTGCCCCAGGAACTTTAATTTTATGAACCAAGTGAATTACTAAACACTTACTACATACCAAGTATCAGGGGTTTATATTAGGGGTTTATAATCTAATCGTTATGAGAAAACTAAGCTAGGGTATGGACTACAAGCACACTAAGAATAAAAGAGGAATAATTGCTTATCTCTGGTGTTTTCCAGAGGGCTATCCTGAGATTTTATGAGTTCATATCTGCTTTGAGAATCTGGAATTACCTATCTAATGTTGCTATTCTCATTAGTTTTGTAAGTTAAACAGTTCTATCAGTTCTACATTTATGCCAAAATATGTCAAATCCAGCCACTTCCCTCTCGCCTCTGCTGCTGGCACTCTGGTCCAGTGTGCCATCCTCTCTCCCAGGGACTACTGCAGTGGTCTTCTCACTCTTCCTGTCTTCCTTTTTTTGCACTCTTCAAAATTTGTTCTTCACACCATACCCAAGGGGATCTCTTCAAAACATAAATCCCATCTTGTCCCTCCTCACTTCGAATCCCCCCACTGATGCAAACTGAACTCCAGCAAGGCCCTGGACGCGGTGCTCCCTGCCCAGTCCCTCTGACCCCGCCACCGTTACTTCCCCTTCCCTCGGCCACAGCAGCTCTCTTTCTGTTTCTTGACCACGTCAAGCTCATTCCTACCTTAGGACCTTTGTGCTGGGTTGTTTCGTTTGCCTACAACACTCTGAACCCTCTCTCTGCAGGGCCAACTCCTTGGCAGCATTCAGGCTGCAGTTCTCATATCACCATCTCAGAGAGGCCTTCCTTGACTACAATCCAAAAATCAGCATCCACAATCCCTATCACATAATCTTGTTTGATTGTCTTAAAGCACTGAGTGCTATCTACAGTTTTCCTGTCCATGTATCTAATTGTTGATTGTCTGTCTGCCCCCAACTAGAATCTAGCTTCCATGAGAGGGATTTCACTCTACAGTGCTTACAGCAGTGCTTGGAATGCAGTAGGTGCTCAGTAAACACTTGCTGACTGACTAACTAAATGAATGCCTAGTCATATAAATCTCTATATAAATGAAATAAATGCTGTCCTGCTATGATCCCCAACATTTTGGAAACTGTATCTCTCTGGCAATTTAACTAATTTTATCATCCCAGGAGAACAACTCAGGAGAACTACAGGACAAGTATTTATTTTTACCTGAAGTGAATTAAAAACAATTTTGTTTCAAAATAAACAGAACTATCTGGGGTATCCTAATGTAGGAATACAGATTCATTACTATAAAAAATGAAAGACCTTGTATCTTAATTTATTCATAGGTAACAGAAAGTCTTTCCTTCTTAAAAATGGGGGGTGCTATCACTCACATTTATGTAATAAAGCACTTAAGAAACTGGATCTCCCCGATGCCAAGTCAGGAGATGAGTCTGAAATATGAGACATATTGGCTATTGTCAGTCAATGAGATCTTGTGGGTAGGATTTGTTTTAGAGCCGGTCGGTATAAAAGCACTACAGTTTCGTAAGTCAAGAGCATTCCATTAGAGACAGTTTAACGTTCAAGATGATACTGTGTTCCCTTACGGTACTATATCTATGAATTTGTATCTTTCTTTTTCTGGATATTTTATCACTTTTTGGCCAAACAATATGACAATATGGTAAAAAAATGTGAAAACTACCCGATCATCACAGCTAATGTCATTTCTGTGTTTTTCCCTCTAGTCTTTTCCTTACAGAATATATTTTCACATGAACGTCACAACTAGGGAATAAGCCATTTGGCATCCTGCTTTTCTCCCTATATTATATTGTAAACATTTTTCCTCATTGCTACATAAAATAAACCTTATCGTTCTCAGCTTCCATGTATGCATTCCATACATACATACGTATATTTAACACTCTACAAGTTAATTTTTCCTTAATTTCTGAGCCTCTAGGTTGTTTCTGTTTTTTTTCTCTACTACAAATAATGCTGCAACAAACACCTTTGTGAAAGGTAGCATTTCCTTCTTCTGGATTATTGCCTTAGAATATAAATCAGAAAGAGGAGCATTACTGAATCAAAGGTATCATTTTTTATGGTTCTTGTTTTATATGACTTTTACCTTTAATGTGACACTTCTTTGATCTCCTGGTGAAACTCCTTGAACAGGGTGAACACCCAAGCACGGCAGGACAAACCCCTTATACCTAAAAATGTAGAACAAATTAAGAAAGCAGGAATATTAAACTAGTAGACAATGTTACGCTAAAGAACAAGTATGAAAGAATTTTTTAGGGCTATGTTGATGGATTTTCTTCTTCTCATTCTCTTTAAAATTGGATGACCTTTGATAGTACAAATATGACATAACTGCATCCTTATTAGCAACTCTTTAAATTCTTATTTTTTTTTTAGATTTTATTTATCTGTTTGAGGGAGAGAGCACAAGCAGGGGGGAGGGGCAGAGGGAGAGAGGGAGAAGTAGACTCTCCATCTAGCAGGGAGCCCAACACAGGGCTCGATTCCAGGACCCTGAAATCATGACCTGAGCCGAAGGCAGACGCTCAACCCACTGAGCCACCCAAGCGCCCCAGCAACTCTTTAAATTCTTTTTTTTTTTTTTTAAAGATTTTTATTTATTTATTTGACAGAGAGAGACATAGTGAGAGCAGGAACACAAGCAGGGGGAGTGGGAGAGGGAGGAGCAGGCCCCCCGCGGAGCAGGGAGCCCGATGTGGGACTCGATCCCAGGACCCTGGGATCATGACCTGAGCTGAAGGCAGACGCTTAACGACTGAGCCACCCAGGCGTCCAGCAACTCTTTAAATTCTTAATGAAAAGTAGCACCTTTCTGAAAGCTGCATAATCTTTTCAAATTCTCCTGAATGTTCAGCAACCACCACAAGAGCCATGACATTGGCCTGAAACAAAAATGAATAGAATAGTTAGAATCTCAAACAATACACATCTAACATAACTGAAGAGAAATTTATAATCTTCTGTACTTTCAGTTATTCTTGCTCACTCATACTCCATCAATATAATCATGATGGCAATCACTGAGTACTTACTATGTTTCAGGCACTATGTTCAGTGAATATAAATATTACCTCATTTAATCTACACAGCCCTATGAGGTAGGCATTGCTGTAATCCATCATATTGATCAGGAGTTCTGGATGGAGTCAAATAACTTGCTCAAGATCATTATGCCTGTGTAACTCCAGAGCCCATGCTCCTTATTAACCTGCCATATTGAATGATGGCTGTGTATGTAAAAATGTATTGGCAACCGTTTCTGACTATCACTTTAAGGGAAAGCTACAAAGAGGTAGTTACAATGAATTTCATAAAAACTTCCAAAAATTAGTATTTTTTTTCCTGAAACAAATCAAAATGTCTCAGAAAACTTTTATAATTTCTTCAAGATCTCTGGAATAATGTTAATTTTAGAACTGGGAGACAGACCAATCTGTTCCGTATAACTGGTAAGCATGGTAGCTGTGGGAACATGTTTTGGATTCAGACTATCTTGTCTGTATCACTTTACTAGCAGTGTATCTTTGGATAAATTAATCTCTAGGTCTGAGTTTCCTCCTCTATCAAATGGGTAATGTTTGGCTCTAAAATAGCAGCTTCTTCATAAGGATGTTGTGAAACATTAAATGAGATAATGTACAGAAAGGACTAAGCTCCGTGCCTGGCATATAGTAAACAGTAAATTAATGCTACTTATTAACAAAGCAACATAGGCATAGTAAATCTAAATTTCAAGCTGTTCTGGATTGAAATTAATAGGAAAACAAAGGGCAATTATAGATATTGACTTACCTTCTTGGCTTTCTCCAACACATCATCCAGATCCTAAAATAAGCATAAGTCATCACAATTATTTTAGATGAATAACTAACTGCTCTTTGGCTGTGTATATCAGTGTAGTTGAGACAACAATGGCAAGGAACAGTGTGATAGAATGTGAAGAGCTACACTCCCCCACCTTCTGTTTACTCTTCCTTTCTCTCAGTAAAATCTGGCTTCTGTTCCTACTCCACTAAAACAGAAACTGTTATTGTCAAATATAAAGGACACTTCTCTGTCCTCCTCTTACTCTACCCCTCAGCAGCATTAAGAACTCCTCACTTGTCCATTTCTTCCTTCCTGAAATATTTCCCACTCTTGGCTTCTGCAATACCGCTCTCCTGCAAACACCACCCTCCACTAGCTGCTACTTTCAGTCTCCTTAGCTGGCTCTCTCCTCTATTGGATTTCAGGACCCTATGCTCCTCTCTCTGTACACACCTCAGGTGATGGCATCCATAGGTTTTGATATCATCATTATGCTAACGAGTCCCCAGTTTTGAGCTCCAGCCTAGAATTCTCTCCTGAGCCCAAGACTGACATTTAAAATCGACTATATGACATTTCCACTTGGATGGATATTAGGCTTCAACATGTGCCAAACATAGCTCTCCTCTACAAACCTATTCCTTCTATCTGCCCTCCCCAACCTCAGTCTTCCCTCCTCTCAGTAAACAGCACCACCATCCTCCCTACAGCATCCTCATGTCCTCTCTTTCTCTCCCTCTCCACATCCAATTCCTCAGCATGTACCATAGATTCTGGCTCTAAAACACACACCGAATCCACCTACTTTTCTCAAACTCCCCTGCAATCATCATCATCTGCTGTCTACATACAGCAAAAGCCTTCAAACTGGTTTTCTAACTTCCACACTTGCTCTCCATCAGCAAAATGGTTTTTAAAATGGAAATCAGATCTTGTCACTCTCCCTTAAAAAAACAAAAAACCCAAACACCTTTACTGGATCTACCTTGTCCTTACTGACCTACCTCACCTATCCCCTGCAACCCTCTAGTCTTATTCCAGTGGCTCTCTCTAGCTCATCACCCTCCACCTAGCCTTTTTGTAGCTTGAATGCGTCAAATTCTATCCTGTCTGGAGCCTGCGACCTGCTTGCTTTCTACACCACCGTACACCCACCTCCTTGCTTGGCTGGCTCTTTGCCTTTCCAGTTCCAAATGAAGCGTCACCTCTTGAGAGGTTTTCCCCCTTAAGAGACTCTGCTCTTCCTTCTCATTTATCAGCCTCTGGTTTCCAATGTAGCTGGTAAAACACTTTGTAACTCGGATTTTGTGTGTGTTGTGTTCTTTCTGTTTGCTTCTCTCCCTCATTAGAACAGGAGCACACGGCGCGCCGGTAAGTACCGAAAGCACACTTCTCCTGGGCAAAGTGGATGCTCGGCCAGGCCAGGAGCTGCGAGGCCGAGGCCGGTGGGGTAAACAGCCGGGCCAAGGGAAGGTAGGGGAGAAGCCCTCTCGTAAGCGGGAAGGGCAAATAAAAGCCACGTAGAAATAGAGAGCTTAACGCTATTCAGGGTCAGAAAGAAAAATCAGAATGACTGAAGTTAAATAGAGAGCCAGGGGCAAGTCACTCCGGGCCACGAACAGGAGCCTGGGAGGATCTGAGGCTTGGTCCTAAGGGAGGAGAGCAAAAATAACCTGAAGGGAAAGGACGGGAGGGCCTCCCCGCTCCCACGGGCCGGGCCTCGCCCATACATACGCTGTCAAAGTCCGGGGCCGAGAGGTGGCAGTGACAGTCCACCAACCCTAGGCCCACCGCCCCCATCGCCACAGCCGCCGCCGCCCTCCACTCTCCCGCCGAGCCTCAGCCGGAACGCTGTCGCTGCACCGGTTCAGTTTCCGGCCGGACGCGTGCCTCTTCCCCCAGTGAGAGCCCGCCCTTCCGCTCCCAGCGTTCCCGCCCGCAGTTCAAACCGGAAAAATGGCAGCGGCTCCTGTGTTGGTGGTCCCTTCTCCTCCGCGGGACGTGGAGAGAGTGGCCGGGGCGGACGACGGGGCCTCGGTCGCCGGCACCTCCCGAGAGGACTTCCGGGTGCGCTGCACCTCGAAGCGGGCCGTGACGGAAATGCTAGAACTGTGCGGCCGCTTTGTGGAAAAGCTCGGGGACGTGCTGCCAGAGGAGATTCGGGAGCCTGCGCTGCGAGATGTGCAGTGGGTACGGGCCCGGTAGCTATCTCTTATCACCTCCTTACCCTATACCCCTCTCAAGGCTCAGAAAGAGCCTACGACAGGCTTCGCAAAGTTAACGGTGTTGCCCGCTCCGGTAGAAGAAGCCCGAGAAACGCGAAGGGTCGAAATAGATGCTAGTGTCAGCTGGGTATTAATCGCTTAGACCAGCGCCTTCCAGTAGAAAAATACAAGGCGAGCAATGTATGTAACTTGAAATTAAAGGACGAAAAAAATAGGTGAAATTAATTTTAATGTTATGTTTTATTTAGCCCGCTCTATCCACGATACCCTTTTAACTTATAATAGTAAAAAGGAAACGAACGAGATCTTTTCTATTCTTTTGTTCCTACTAAGCTTTTCAAATCTGGTGGCGTAAATTTAGAGCTCATCTCCTTTAGGGCTATAGCCACATTTTAAGGCCTCAGTAACCACAGAGTAGCCACTGGCTCCCCTATTGGACAGTGCAGACTGACTCTAGGAGGAATTCTCTAGGAAGGGGTAATCCTGGAAGTCAGCCAGTCACCGCACTGGCCTTTGGTCTTTTCCTTTTACCTGTTTTAGAACTTCATGTAAAGTCGTGAAAACATTTTCCCTCCAACTCTAAAGTAGATAAGGAAGCTGTCTTGATTAATAACTTCGCTGGCCCTCATAACATTTCCCCTTCCTTTCTCACATATTTTGCAAAGCCCTGAAGAAGCTAGTTTTTTGAGGAAAGACACAGCATTGAGGGATTGGTACCTGCCTTAAGGAAGCATACAATCTATCTCTAGAAAATAAGTTTAAAAGTTCATAATGCAGCACACTTGTGAGTTCGAATGACCACAGTGCAAACAATAAAAATAAACGTCAAATGGAAGAATAAAGAAACAGCACCTGGGTAGCGAGTCTGTGTTCCAGTTTTGTATACAGTAACGCTGTTACTACCTTCTTGCAAGGAAGGGAAGAATAGAGACATACCTCAGGACATTTTTAGTAGTTTTTGGGAGAAGACTGTTTTGTTGCATAATGATCTTAGAATTTGCCCCTTTCTAAGAAGTGCTAACATATTTAGAACATTTACTTTACAGAAAAAGAGGAGCTTGGCTTAACCTATTAAACCTTATTTAATGGATGATAAGGTGAATTAGAAGATAAAAGTTTGAAGACTTAAACTACCAAGGAATTCACTTGTGTTTTATATTAAAAGCAGATAAAAGGCAGAGGCTTTAATTATGTTGACATATCTCTTTATCTAAAACCATGTAATATTGTAATGGGTATTCTAAAAAAAATCGCATTGATATGATTGTGCAATGAATATTACAGTTTGTATTCTGAGATAATCCTTGAATGCCCATATATAAAGTAAGGATTTTATTTTATAAAATCTTTAAAATGTAGAGTGTGTACGTTAACTCATAATTATCATTTGATTTATGCTTATTTTTACTTCTACAAAGTGTGTAAAATACATTCTCATTGTAAAAAACAGCATAAAACAAAAGTCTGAATTCCTCTCCCCCATCCCTCTTCCTTCCTGGAAATAACTTACTATTTTGGAGGGCCCATGGAGGGTGTAATCCTATACATTTTTTTATGGCTTTACATCTCTCTGTTGTTTTAGATTTTTGTTTGTTTTTTACATTAATAGTGTTAGGATGATGCATTTAGCAATTTAGCTTTTTTTTTTCTCTACCAAATCTGTCTTCGACTATTATTTGTCAATGTTAGGTAGAGATATACTTTATTCTTTTTTAGTATTGCATGATATGGATATAGTATATTTAACCATTTTCCGAATTTGAATTTAGATTTTATTTTCCCCTCAGTATTTTATAATTTCAAATAGTGCTTTAACAAACATTACTAGTACATCCTTTTTATGTTTTTATGAGAACAGTTTTTTAGGATGCATTGCTAGAAGTGAAATTGTTAGGTAATAGGGAATGTGCATTTAAAATTTTAATGGCACTATCAAATTCCTTTAGTCCCTTATTTCTTAATGTAGTATAAACATTTTTAACCTTACAAAAAACAGACTAGTACAGTGGACACCTGTATATCCATCACCAAAAATTTTTTTTTTTTAAGATTTTATTTATTTATTTGACAGAGAGAGACACAGCGAGAGAGGGAACACAAGCAGGGTGAGGGGCAGAGGGAGAAGCAGGCTTCCCGCCGAGCAGGGAGCCCTATGCGGGGCTCGATCCCAGGACCCTGGGATCATGACCTGAGCTGAAGGCAGTCGCTTAACCGACTGAGCCACCCAGGCGCCCCTACACTTCCTATTTTAAAGCAGACTTCAGATCTCATGTCATTTGATTTCTGTGTACTTCTGTGTACATCTCTAAAAAAATATAGTCTTTTATGAAGTAGAAATTAATTTTACTTTGTTTTAAGCATTTTTTCCTTGTTAACACTGATGCTTGTTCAGCAGCATATGTAGTACTTGTACCCTTGAGACTCAGCTGAGCTCAACTTTGTTAGCTTGTATTTTTTCTTCATTTAAGGAGTATATAAATTTTTGCATCAAATTTTCTCAGATGTAGTGTAATGGTTATTATCAGAGCTAAAATGTAGGTAGAATCAATGATTGAAATGGAATTTTCATTGAAAAGAATATACTAATAAGCTAGTCTATTTTTCTTGATATTCTGTATTACGAATCTGAAGTTCTTATTTTGCCAAAATGTTTTAGTTCAATATTTAAGTTATTTTTAGTGACTTGAGTATTGTGAATTTATTTCAGACTTTTGAATCAGCGGTGCAAGAGAATGTCAGCATTAATGGGCAAGCATGGCAGGAAGCTTCAGATAATTTTATGGGTATGTGATTTAACTTTCCTTCTGTCATTAATTTCTGAGTTGTTTTTGTAGCTAATTTTATCTCGAATGCTAATTTTTAATCCCCATTTTCAGTTTTTTTTTTAAGATTTATTTATTTATTTATTTGAGAGAGAGAGAGCAGAGTGAGAGATAGCACCAGTGGAGTAGGGGGGCACAGAGGGAGAAGCAGGCTCCCCATTGAGCAGGGAGCCCCATGTAGGGCTCAATCCCAGGACTGAGCCACCCAGGCACCCCTCAGTGTCCCTTCTTTTAAAAATTTTCCTTCACTGGGGGGAAAAGGGAAACATCTAGAAGACTACTGAGGCAAACTACCCAGTAGGTACCTTGATATTTTTATATATGCTATCTGGCATTCTCAACAAGATTTTCACCTCATTAGTCTTTGAAAGTACCCTTGTCAGTAGTTTACTGGAAAATACTGTACAACTATCTCCAGATGAAGAAACAGGCCCAGAGAATTTCTGAGTAATACCTTATAAATCAAGTTGTATTTTTACAAATGATCCTTATAGTAGATAGCAAAGTACCCTTAGAAGTATGAAGTTAAATTATAAGAGTACCAACCATGTAAAGGATGAGGTAAATATATGGAGAAGGCTCTTTAGAGACAGAATACTTCCTTTTTTTTTAAGATTTAATTAATTAATTTATTTGACAGAGAGAGCGAGCGTGAGAGAGCACAAGCAAGGGGAGCTGCAGAGGGAGAGGGAGAAGCAGACTCCCTGCTGAGCAGGGAGCCTGATGAGGGGCTCCATCCCATGACCCCGGGATCATGACCTGAGCTGAAGGCAGATGCTTAACCAACTGAGCCACCAAGGCGCCCCAGAATACTTTCTTCAAAGCAGACATGATTGTACCCTAACTAATGGTGTTGACATATATAAAAAAAATCAAAGTTTTAATGGAAAGAAAATGGTCAGTGGTCAGTGTAAGAAGGAAAAAATTTAGTAGAAAAGGAAAGATTTGTGTGAGAAGAGAGTCAGAATTCTCCAGCAAAGTCTAGGAGAAGGGCTACCCTGACAAGAGGGTCAGAGTGTCTTGTCTTTCCCCATGGTGATATTACAGAGTCTGACCAGCATAACTTGGTATCACTGCTTGATATTACTTGCTATCCAGTTATACCCTTGAGCTGATTCCAAGCTCATTCTATCCACCCTCTGTGGTTATAATTTTTCTTCTCAACATTAAGATAATACTTTGCCCAGAAAACTTCACTGTCTAATCCTTGGGATTATTATAGTTATCTCTTCAAAGTCACCAAAATTTACTTTCTGGTTTATATATTGAGATGGTAAAAGCAATAACATTAGATTTCCCAAATTTTATCAGAATGATTGCCAGTTAGTAGGGGAGAGGGAGTGTATCACAATCACCTAAAGTATTTTTAAACTATACAGGCTTTCCTGTGTATTTGACTCTTGTTCTCTGAAGTCACTTTGGAGTTGCTTTATTGTTGCTCCAGGCTGCCTTTAGCAATATGATTCATCAATTTATAGATTAAGATATATATTTTCTGATAGGTTGGCAGCCTGGGTAGAGTGTGGTTATTCTTTGTCCCTTTTCCTTCCTATAATCATGAGGGGAAATAGTTGAGAATACTACAATTTTACCTTCTTTCATGGGCACTTGATAATGCCAAGCACCATACCAAATTCTAGGATGTAGATGAAAACACATGGTCTTACTATTTAGGAACTCATTGTTAATGGAAGGAAATGGACAAGGAATTACTATACTGTTTAGGAAGGGGGATAAGACCCAACAGAGCAGATTGTTGTTAAATTAAATGCATTTAATGAATGACAGCATGCTAGATAAAAAGGAGGAAGGATATTTGAAGCAGAGAGAACAGCATGTACAAAGGCACAATGGAGTGATATGTTTGGAAAATGTCAAAAATGAATTGGGAAAACTAAAATGGTAGGTGTGGCCAGAGAGATAAGTTGGGGCCAAATCACAAAGAACCTTGAGGGTTTGCTAAGGAATTTGTACTTTATCCTGTAGGCAATGGGGAACCAGTAGAGATTTTTAAAATAGAATTTACATGAAAAGCTTTGTGTTTTAGAATACTAACTGCTGGCTGTGTAGGGGTGGATTAGAGAGGGGTGAAATTCAAGGCAGGCTGATCTTAGGGAAGTTATTGAAATAGTACAGTAAAAGATGGTGAAGACTTGCCCTAAGATGGTAGGAAAGGAGAGAAAAAGGTTCAGCAGATAGGATTAAAAGCATTTGTATCTGATCTAATACATAGAAGCAGTAAGTAAGCTTCGCAAGGGCAGAGGTTTTTTGTCTGTTTTGTTCACTGGGATCATTGTAAAAATGAGTGAACAAGTAAAAGGAAAAAAAGTGAATGAATATACAAGTGAAAACAACTTTCTCCCTTCCTCTGTAACTACCCTGAAAGGACTTGACTTCAGGCTTGACCAGGTACATTTAAGAATTAAGGTGTAAGTTCCTTGAGAGCAGGGGCTATATTTGTTTTTCAACACTTAGCTTGGCATATAGTAGGGACACAGTAAATACTTGTTAAATTGGTGACAAAATCTTCCCTGCTCAAATTGTTTATATATTTCAGTTTTGTAGTTTTATCATTAGGTGGCGCTAAAAAACCATTTTCCTGCTCCATAGAAGATTTAGCTGGGAGACTTTTTTTTTTAACTGTGAAATAGTACATTATTTCAGGCTAATGATTGAACTTTTTATATGGATAAATTAAAATTTAGGAAAGGCTGCTCATCTAAATGAGTGTTCAAAGTAAGCAGTGACTGTTTTTCTCATAATATTCTCAAAAGAATTTAGTTGGACTTAATATTTGTTACATGAATGAGAGATACCTGATGTACTTCATTAATCTTTACCCAATATATATGTGTGTGCATATATATATATATATGCTGATATATGTCGGCAATGTTTGAAAGTTTCCAATAATAAATATCACTGTTTTGGACTTCTTAATGAAGCTTCTACTTAATAAAATAGATATATTTCTAGCATAGACTATGACATAGCAGAACAGGTGTGATGAGACCAGCTAAGCCAATGACCTAGCTCTTTAGTATTTTTTTTTTTAAAGATTTATTTATTTGAGAGAGAGTGAGGGTTCGTGTGTGCACGTGAGCAATGATGGGGCAGAGGGAGAAGGTGAGAATCCTCAATTAGATTCCCCCCCTGAGCACGGAGCCACTCTGGGCTGGATCCCAAGACCCTGAAATCATGACCTGAGCCGAAATTGAGAGTCAGACCCTTAATCAACTAAGCCACCCAGGCACCCCTGGGTAGTGTTTTTAACTACTTATTTTTTTTTTAAAGATTTTATTTATTTATTCATAAGAGACAGAGAGAGAGAGAGGCAGAGGGAGAAGCAGGCTCCCCGCTGAGCGGAAAGCCCGATGTGGGACTCGATCCCAGGACCCTGGGATCATGACCTGAGCCGAAGGCAGACGCCCAACCATCTGAGCCACCCAGGCACCCACTACTTATTTTTAAAGATGATTTTCAAAATAAGGTTGATGTACCACCTGCATTCATTTCATCTTCGGTGCTTAATTTTGGGGCCCCATTCCAGAAGCTTCTGTTGAATCAAAATTTCTGTGCTTCTGACAAGTTCCCCATGTAATTTTTTGCTGGAGTTTGAGATTCACTATTTTAAAACAGGAAAGCAACAGATAAATAGTTTTAGTTAAATCAAATAAATTATAAAGTCACCGTGTCTCTTATTTTTTCCTACTATTCCAGTTGTGTCTACTTCAGATTTAGCTATTCCACTCTGCTACTGTCACAGCTTTGGTGCAGCACATAATGAAGTCAAAACATGTTGGAAACTCTGACATTAAATGCCCTTTACAGTCTAGTTCTTTTATAT